TGATTTCTTAATTTTGGGTTGGAAAAGTGGGGGTCGTCTTGTACATAGGGGTGTCTTATTGATGGAAAAATAAGGTACTGCGGGTGATTTGTAACACACAACGAATTACGCGCAGGAACAAGGGGACTATAAATTGTATCATGAGATGTGCCAAGCCAGTCCTGGCTTTGTCTGTAATTACGTATGTTACGCTTGAGTAAACTTCTTTGTTGAACACACGTGTCACAAGAGTTTCTCTAGACGAACGGGGTAAACCTTACACTTCCTACATAAAGCAGCACAGTCAATATGACAATAGACCACTTCTATATTTACTAGTAGCAAGTAGTTGAAATTCTTCTATGGTGACAAATTGTCCAGCCTTGTCCAAAATGACTTGGGTTGAATTTCTCAGGTGTTTCCCATACTTTGGGATCAAGAAATATTGAATTCAGATCTGCGTTAACAAAATAAACCTTGAAATATTATTAAAAAAAACAGCTGACTCAGAATGCATTTCATTTCAGACTAGTTCATCAATTTCATGGGACCAATTTTTGAGCATTTTTCATATAGTATGTACAAGCTTCATCCTTCTGGAGCTAAGCATAGTGTATTTCTGTGGCACATCTGAACCTAGATCAATTTCTGTGCCTCTTATCAAATGGAGATAGTAAAAAATCATTTGGAACATGAATAAAGTAATATTATACTCTTCCTGGATTTTTTTTTTTTAATCCTGCCAAAACCTATGAGCTATAGCCACTGGTGAAAAGAACAGGCTGCTACATGTAGATTTTAGTACCCCTTCACTGGAGGTCTCCAAAGAGAGACTGATGGTCATGTATCTGAGATGCTTTAGTGGATCCTGCCCTGAAAGGGGGGAAGACTAGATGTCTGTAGTTGGACTAAAGTACTTTACAACTCTAGGATTCTGTGAAAAGGAGAAACCAACAAATCAGAGGGTGGGTGTTTAGGCCTCAGTGAGCCAGGTCATCCCTTATTGGTTTCTCCCAAGAAGACTGGCATCTGTCAGAGCTAGTTGGAAATTCAGATCTCATTTGTTGAAGCCAATACTTCAACCAGCAGAATTGTAATCAAACCTCAACTGAGATTCAGTCAAAGTCTAGCTGGAGAAGTGCATTAGCAACAGAGCGGGGAACCTGGAGTAAGGATCTTAAAAATTTAGATTGTACCGCTAATAGAACCTATTGTACATGATATGGATAATCATGTAATTGCCACATCTGTGCCATACAGCAAAGCACCTAGCATTTCGGCTTTGAAATGATTAATTGCTGCAGGCATGCAGTTGTTACTCCTGCAGGTTGAATACCTGATGATTGCATTAGGAGCTGTTTTAGATTTCAAGAGTGCAACTTCCAGGAAGATGACTGGAAAAAGATGCCACCTAGTGAATACAACCACCTTGGTTTTCATATGGTAGATTTCTAGCATTTCAGATTAGAAGGAAGATGCTAATCCATGAAGGCTGCAT